GAAGTGATTTAATGAAGCCACTGTTAGCGATTAAGATGAATATATTAAGCATATTTCTTTTCTTCTTCTTCTTCTTCTTTTTTTTTTTTTTTTTTTGAGGTGGAGTCTCATTCTATCACCAAGGTTGGAGTGCAGTGGTGCGATCTCGGCTCACTGCAACCTCTGCCTCCCGGGTTGAAGAAATTCTCCTGGCTCAGCCTCCCAAGTAGCTGGGACTACAGGCGTCTGCCACCACACCTGGCTAATTTTTGTATTTTTAATAGAGATAGGGTTTCTTCTCCATGTTGGTCAGGCTGGTCTTGAACTCCTGACCTTAGCATATTTCATAGATAACTTGTCAGTCACAAACAATGGGTTTTATCTCCTCCCTATTAATTACTTTCTCATTATTTTATTTTGTAGCAGAAAGTACATTTTATGGAATTTTTAAAAATTAGAAAAACAAGTCCAGTATTCCCAATCAGAAATATATACTTTCTTCAAATTGCCCCAAAAAGTTACCATGGCAATTTTTTTCTTGAACATGACTAAAAGATCAGTCCATGAGTTAGAAAAAAAAAAGTATTTAAATCTATTGTACAAATAGTTATTATCTCTCAAAGAAAATTTGGAGCACAGATGGGCAAATATGAGCAAATATTTGAAAATGTCCTTTCTGATGTGAAAATTACTTGTTTATGTAAGCTAACTCGACTTACTTGCTTGGACAGTTAACTCCCCTGTTGATGAGCTCATTGCTGAAAAACAAGACAAAACAAATAGTGATAATTTGATATTTTCCTGGTTGGTCTCAATGACCAGGACTAATCAGAGGATATTGACCATACATGGATTCTAGACAGTTGAACATACAGATTAATTAGGAAAATGGCTATCTGATATAGCATCTGTGCACAGTTTTTGTAGAGACTTATAGGCAGCCTCTAATTAGGTGGATACTATCACAAGCAATGGGTGAGTAAGGCACAAATAGTGGATGACTACAGCCCACAAATAGTTTGTATTAATAGAGAACTATGGTTTTCCAGCAGTTCAGGGTAAACCTTCTTTGTATTCCACTTCAGAAGATGGGTAAATGGGACAGAGGAAACAGGTTATATTAGTTTATTTTCACACTGCTGATAAAGACATATCTGAGACTGCGTAATTTATAAAGAAAAAGGGATTTAGTGGGCTCAGAGTTCCATGTGACTGGGGAGGCCTCACAATCATGGAGGAAGGCAAAAGTCATGTCTTACATGGTGGCAGGCAAGTCAGAGAATGTGAGCCAAGTGAAAGGGGAAGCCTCTTAAAAAACCAGCAGATCTCATTCACTACCATAGAACAGTATGGGGGAAACTGCACCCATGATTTAATTTATCTCCCACCAGGTACCTCTCACAACATGTGGGAATTATGGGGGCTACAATTTGAGATGAGATTTTGGTGGGACACAGCCAAACCATATTGCAGGTAGACTGTCTTACAGGCCTCAAACTCAGCCTCAGCCAGAACAGATCTGCTTTTTCTCTTTTACTTACTTCGAATTTCACATAAACCTTTCTTTTTTTTTTTAGGATGAAAAAACCTTGAAGACTCTCGCATAAATGATATTTTAAATGCTTTTTAAACACAGTTCCTAAATACTAAAATTGCTTTTTTTAAACAATAAACTGTTATGTATTTCTTATCCAAAATATACAGAATATTGGTAAAAGCTAGTTATTGGACACAATCCAAGATTAAATTCTGTCAACTCCCAAAAAAGTGAGGAATTTGACTAAGGAAACACAAATATGTAACTTGTATACATGTATCAAAACACCATGTTGTATACAGTAAATATATACAATTTTTATTTGTCAATTATATCTTACTAAAGCTGGGGAAAAATAAAGTTGGTGGAAGTTTTCATGAAAATTGTGATGATTTTCAAGTTAAAATGACTTAGCTTACTGAGCAGATGAGAAAAACTGTTTTACTTTTTCCTACCAGTGCCATGTTTCTCAGACACATTCTCAGTATTCTATTCCCCATTATACAAAATAAGACTGTTTCATTCTATTAACTTTCTACAAATTCCACTGGGGAAACTAGTGATGATAAACTCTACAAAGTGGGCGCTTTTGAAAATATCCAATTCAAGTATACCCTTAAAGGCATCCCAAATCATTGTATGGTGAAGAATCAATTGCTTAGGACCATCAATTGCCCAGGACCATCAATTGCTCTTGGTGCTTACTCTATGGAAGGAATTCAGTTTACCATCAAATGTAGTTTAAGGCAGTAAATTTATTTCGTTTTTAATAAAACTATATATTTTGTCCTTAGTAATGCAATACAGTGGAAAATAGCATAAAGTTAGAACTCTTCAGTTAAAACTTTGTCAACTTAGCCTGAGTAGGATGCAAGTTATCCATTTCCAGGAATGATACCAGGGTAAGTAGTAATGGTGGTGAGTATAGCCAGATTTTTCGGTAGAATGATTACACCTGGAAACAAATTGTCAATACACAAGTAACTAGTTTCTAATTTTGACCAGAGATTTCTACTTTCCAGGTACGGCAATGGAAATAAACATTAACACTTTAGTTTTGAAAGCGACCACCTCCTAACACGGTTCTGAGTGGGAGAAAGCTAGTTAATAGTCAGGGCTCTAAAGGCTACAAGTATCATGATGAAAAATGAAGCAAAGTCATCTGACACGTAGGCAGTGAGCTGCTTGACTACAGCCTTGGCGTTTGCAATGCAAAGAAGTTGATTTTAGCTTTGCTTTGTCACACTGTGCCTCCTGAAGGACCCACACCACAGTTTTTTTGTCAAAACAAAATACAGATTCTTGACAAATTATAAATAAATCTTGGGCTACAGGGTTATTTCTAGACTTAATCTAGAATCTCTGCAGTTTTCTGTTTATTGGTAGTCGAAAAATTATGTGTTCCCAGGAAGCAATGTTTTTGTCTATAAAAATTGCCTTAAAGGTTCTCCTGAGCTGTCCACTGAATGTGCTTTTCTTTTTTTTTTTTTGAGACGGAGTCTCGCTCTGTCGCCCAGGCTGGAGTGCAGTGGCCGGATCTCAGCTCACTGCAAGCTCCGCCTCCCGGGTTTACACCATTCTCCTGCCTCAGCCTCCCGAGTAGTTGGGACTACAGGCGCCCACCACCTCGCCCGGCTAGTTTTTTGTATTTTTTTTTAAGTAGAGAAGGGGTTTCACCGTGTTAGCCAGGGTGGTCTCGATCTCCTGACCTCGTGATCTGCCCGTCTCGGCCCCCCAAAGTGCTGGGATTACAGGCTTGAGCCACCGCGCCCGGCCGAATGTGCCTTTCTTAAGTGCTAGTGATGGCAGCTACAGGCTGTCTGGAGCAGTGGCAGCAAGAGCGGAGGCGGGAACAGCAGTGACAGTGGTGGGTCCCCTGTGCCCCACATCCCCGAGGCAGCCGACTGTGCTGCCCCCAACCTCATGTGACCAGGCAGGACCCGCTCCCAGGCCTGGAGCCTCTCCTACTCCGGAACCTGGCCCAACGTTGCCATTCTCGACCATGGCCACTGCAAGGTGGGTGCGAGGAGAAAGTCCATGGAGCCATCCCTGTGAGCCCCCCAGAGCCTGCCACCCTGGAAGCTACCGCAATGGGACTGGGCCAAATTGCCCACTGGTCTGGGAGCAGCGAGGTCAGGCACGAAGGGGTGGACAGAAAGGTGCCGGACGCAGAACTGGGCCCTTGCAGATGGAGAGGTAGGTGACTAGGAGATCGTGGGACTATCTGCCTGCATAGAGGAGCTAGACCACTCTAGGGCCTACTGTCTGCTGAAAGCTGAACACTCAGTGGGACAACTTGCCTGCAGAGAGAAGCTTCTAACTCCAGGGCCTCCTCTCTGCTAGGAGCTGAACACTTGCTTGGACTCCCTGGCTACGAAGAGGAGCTGCCCACTGTGGGTCTCCTGTGAGCCGTTCTCTTGCTCAGTAAACCTCTTTCCCGTCTTGCTCACCCTCCACTTGTCTGCGTACCTCATTCTTCTTGGTCTCAGGACAAGAACTCAGGACCTGCCAAATAGCAAGACTAAAAGAGCTGTAACACAAACAGGAATGAAACACACCCCTTGCTGGCCACGTTGTAGGCAAAAAGAGAGAAAAGCTGCAGCCTTTTAGGGATCCCAGACCTGGGAGCTCCCCAAGCCAGGGCTATGACTCCCTCTTTGGGACCCTGCGGTTCCTGTCATCTTCAAGCTTCCTAGGTGCCACCACATTCCCAGGTGCCAGCCAGAGAAGCTGCTTGCAGTGAGCTTTGTCAAGCCACAGCCTCACAGAGAGCCAGCACACCTGTGCCAGCGCCTGGAGCTGCCCATCATGCTGCAGCCAGTGTGCCTGGCTGTGGGCAGTGACCAGACCCCGTGCTCACTCACACAACCCTCACAGCTCCATGCCTGGGTTGGCCTCGGTGGGCATGGGATCCAGGCAGGTAGCAGGAGGTGGGCAGTCTACCAGGTCAAGTGGGCAGAATGAGCCCACTGGGCCAGAGCAAAACCTGGGCAAAGGCACCAACCTCTGGCCACAGAGGTTTCTGGCCAGAAAAGCAACACCCCCTGGGATCCCATATCACTAATAAACACTATTCTTTTTACATTTAAAAATTTCTGAAACTTTCAAGGATCTCTCTGCTACTAGTCAATCACTCAAATTAATTATTTCAGGTTTCCAAAGCATGTGCACAACGTAATCGCTTTCTCAGTAGTAACAGCCCCTTTATTCCACAATGTGTTTTCTATTTCCTTGTATATTCTTATAATCTCTCTGTGATTTCAGGAAGAACAAACATTATCATTGGAATTTTACAGATGAGAAAATGAAGACAAAGGCATGAGTCAATTATTTGGGTGGTCCTGTAGTGACTTAGTGGAGTCAGAATTGGTTAGGTAACTCTCTCCCTTTTTTTTTTTTTTTGGAGATGGAGTCTTGCTTTGTCATGCCCAGGCTTGAGTGCAGTGGTGCAATCTTGGCTCACTGCAACCTCCGCCTCCTGGGTTCAAATGATTCTTCCCCCTCAGTCTCCCAAGCAGCTGGGATTACAGGCGCCCGCCACCAGGCCTGACTAATTTCTGGTATTTTTAGGAGAGACAGGGTTTCACCATATTGGCCAGGCTGGTCTTGAACTCCTGACCTCAGGTGATCCACCTGCCTCGGCCTCCCAAAGTGCTGGGATTACAGGCGTGAGCCACCGCGCCCAGCCTCAGGTAACTCTCAAATCAGTTTCTTCATTAGCATATCCTGCCTTTTAATTTAGTACAATTATTAAAATAAGCTGAAGTTTAGAAGCTGAGCCTATAAAAAACAAAAAGACCAGGTAGTCAATGAACAATTTATGCTTCACTCTGGTTTCAGATAGTTCAGGCTTTTACGTTCCTGACAAATTAACTATTTATTGGAAATTACACAGAATGCATCATGTAAGTTATCAGAATGGCCATTGTTTTACAATTTCTATTCATTTGCTTCCCCATCTAACAAAGAGGATGGATTAAGCACTTGTCAGGTTGCTCCCTTCTGGCTGAGAGAGGTCCTCAGCTTTATTCCCTAAGTAGCTGACTCGTTGTCACATCAGCAAACATCTGCCCATTCCATTACTCACATTTTTTACTTCCTTATTTGGTTTCCTCTTGAAGAGTCAGCTAGACCCTTACAAGGGTAGAGTGTCCTTTTTCATGTCTGATAAAAATCGCTTGCCCTGAATCTCTTCTGTAACTCTCTTAGGTCTAGTATCCATTGAAATTTGTAGGGGAAATCTGTACTTGTCTGCTGGAAGAAGATGCTGTGAAAACAGCTTAGTGGACGAGGGTAAACAAGTTTCTCCCTAGCTGGCTGCCTTAAAATCTTTTATATGGTACCATAAGGAAGAGTTTCCGAGAAATGAATATCATAGCCAGAATTTTTAAGATGTGTTTGACTATAGAAACCTTTTTTAATTGGAGCCTTTTAAGAAATTAGAGATTTAAATTTGATTCTTAGCTCCTTTTAATTACTGAATTCCTCAACCCTTTTTGCGTGATTTTCACTTCTATAAGGGTGAATTTGCATATGTCACTGGAATATAAAAAGAAATTAGTTACTTCTGGTAAAGGCAATAGAGATAGACCTTGATAAAGGTTCGTTCTCCTTAATTGAGGGAAGTGATAATGGTATAATGGGCTAAGGGTGAACAACAAAAAAAAGAGAAAAGTGGAACAATATACACATAGTTTCAGTGATGTTTTCCTAGACTGTGATTTTTAAAGCATTAATGGTAAAATAACTCTAACAGCTTCAATGTTGGCTTGCCATTTTCCCAAATGCCCATAGTAAAAAAAGCTAACAAAAATTTTATGTCACCATATATAGAAACTATCAATAAAAGTATGGCAACAAATGAATTTGTGTTTTAGGAAGGTCCCACCCAGAAAAACAATTATTGCCAAACCCTTAGTATTTTCACTTGCTTAGTCATGGAGGCAGTGCCTAGGTGAGATTAGCCCTCTGTTGTAAATCCTTGCCTTTATTTTGGGATGAGTGCCAATCAGTTACTGTTGGGAAAACCACTGGATGACTAACTTCAGATGTGCTTACATTAGAGACTAATACACCTTGAAATGTCACATCTTTAACTTGAATTTTTTTATCTGAATTCTAGCTATTATTTGGAATGGAAATAATGACAAATAAATTTGAGATTAGTCAAAATATGAACCTAATAGAGAACTCCATATCACACAGAAGGGGACCTCCTTACCATTAACTTGAACTGATGAGGCATTTATTGGCAAGGCTCTTAAATTCCTCATCTTCTGATTTAAGAAGCTTTGAATTTTCTTCTCTCTTACTGCCCTTTGCTCAGTAGAGGGGAACTGGAACACCATAATGACATCTGCTTTCACACCATCTTCCTCTGGACTATGCCACACAAAAGAAAGGTACATTTTCAAAGAATACACCTGGAATTGTCCTTCAGTGTTCCCTATATCTTCCTCCCTTGAATGATCCCTCAGTTGCTGAGAGTGTCAAGTGCTGATAGTCTCATGTCATTCTGACCCAAGGTCATTTCATATGTTCCCTCTTCTAGCTTTCATTATGTTTTCAGTGCATTTCCCCCAATTAATTTGAAGGATTGTTACAGAAGCTAGGAATGACAGACGTAAAAAATCATCATCAAAATTATAAGCTTTGAGAGCGTAGAAGAAGCCTTCGTGTTTTCTTAGGCTAATCAACTGTATATTTGATACCTGAATCACTTCTATAGGGTCCATGACAAATGGCCCTCTAATGACAGTGCAATAATTAAAAAGTTTAATTTTCTAAAGAGGCTTGTTTCTCTTTGGTCAGCTCTGAGTTCATCATTTTGAATTGAAATATGTCTCCCTATATCTCCCATTCCATAAGGCCTAGGTCTACCAGTTGTAACAAACATAAAATAATTTCCTCCTCTAGCCCAAATATTTGAAGGCAACAATATTGTGGTCCCTGAGTCTTCTCCAAATTAAACATGCCCAATTTCTTGAACTTTTATAATATAAACAGATTCAAGTTCTGTTACCTGAGGAACTAAACTTTTAAATACTCTTAAAATAGGAAAACCAATTACAGTTAAAAAAAAAACCCCTGAAACAAATATATATTGGTCTGTTATCTCTCCTATTGTTTTTAAACAAACAAACAAAAAAAACTGCGAAAAACACTAGAGGCCCATCTCCCTGAATCTTTTTTGGCTAAAAGGAAATTCTGAGACAATTTATGTAATTTTGTTCATTTAGGCTCTGGAAATATAAAGATCTAAATAACTAGAATTTTATATCAAATTGGCAAACAGATGACTAATTTTACTTCTTAAATCTGAGTAATTAACATTTTTACCAAGTATTATATAGTGATGATGGCTACCATCCAAAGGACTTCACGAGAGTATGATAATGTTGCTACAATAATATGGTAAATGAGAATTTGAAAACAGAAAACATGAAATCTAGAAAGTTCTAGTATTTATATGCTTTTTCTCTCCTAAGTATTGTAGAAATTACCCAATTTATGTTATAAAATCCTTATGGAAGTCACTACTCAGTAAAGACATAGAGAACTTTGGAGTACACCTGCCAACAAAGCATTATTAGTCTATTGGTAAGAAAGTGATCATTATTTTCTTCAAATAAATCAAAATCTGAATATATTATTTTTCTTTATCTTTAAGAAATATGAGTCATACAGGTTCATGCATTTATGTATATGACATGTATGTTCTACTATGTAATTTTTCAAAATAACACAATTGAAACTTCTGAGCAATATCTACAACTGATATGAGTCTTCCCCCTCCACCACAACAAAGAGAAAATTTATTACAACAGGAATATATTTTTGTTTAGGCATGCCTCATGTCGTTAGGCTGCATTACAGGTGAAATTTGTGATCCCATTTTGTAGCCAAGTTTGCCTGCTTAACATGTTTGAAATAATATAGTTGTCAAAAGAATACAACTTGGTGCATGCAATGACAAGCTGCTGGGTTTTCCCCAGGTCACGGGTTCTGGTAAGTTCCAGGCCTCACAATAAGTTGATGGGGTTTGATTCCTGGTTCTGTCACTTTGGGAAACTGTCAGTTGGGGAACTTTGAACATATTTCTTACCCTCCCTGAATCTTAGTCTTTTTGTTGACAAAATGGTGGTCAGCCTTATACTCAAAGACTGCTTTAAAGACAATGTTTATGAAAAATTGTAGCCAAAAGCCTAGTCCATAGAGACATACAATACATGAGGGTCCCTGTCTCCTTTGTTTCTTTTTCCCTCCAGTCTTGTGATTCCACTTTTGCCCAACTATACATACGTCAGTCTGACTACTTGGTTCTTGATATAGTTCTTCTTCCAGGCTGAATCTATAAATAGCTCATCCACCTGTTATATAACAAGAGGGAAGCTATGTGTTAGTAATATCTTTTATAATAAGAATATGTCTTTGATTAATGTAAAGCAATGGAAAATTTTTTAACAGAACTAATATCATTTTTTAAATTGGTGGATCTTAACCTTCACAGTGCAACAGAATCATTTGCTGAATTAAAAAAATTTGTGGCCGGGTGCAGTGGCTTACGCCTGTAATCCCAGCACTTTGGGAGGCCAAGGCGGGCGGATCACGAGGTCAGGAGATCGAGACCATCCTGGCTAACACGGTGAAACCCCGTCTCTACTAAAAATACAAAAAATTTGCCGGGCGTGGTGGCGGGCGCCTGTAGTCCCAGCTACTCAGGAGGCTGAGGCAGGAGAATGGCGTGAACCTGGGAGGCGGAGCTTGCAGTGAGCCAAGATCGCGCCACTGCACCCCAGCCTGGGCCACAAAGCGAGACTCCGTCTCAAATAATAATAATAATAATAATAATAATAATAATAATAATAATAATTTAGGGATGCCAGAGACCCTCTCCAATAATTTTTATTTTGATTGGTCTAGAGGGGACTTAGGCACTCATATTTTTAAAAAACCTACCCAAGTAATTCTACTGTGCTAGAGTAGGTTTCTGGGGTAGAAGGTATCTTGCTAAAACACGATAGAAGGAGTAGCAGAGAGATACAGAGCAGAGATGGGATATTCAGGGAGGCTTTGAGTGGTGACAAAGAAAACCCTGCCTCAGTCCTGGATTTGAGCCTGTGCTACTGCTCACAAACTGGGCAACCTTGGCAAAGTTACTGAACCAATTTGAGCCTCAGTTTTCGAACCTGTAAAACAAAGATATTGGTCTGCTACTCATAAGGTTATGAAGGTTAAACACATATAAAATGCTGGGTAAGATTTGGTAGTTAATTGCTGATGGTCCTCTAGCCTCCATCCTGGCATTACAGGTCTTAGCTCTGCAGGTCTTCGCTTATAACGGGTAAGGAGGAGGCATTAGGGATTTAGGAGAGGGTCAAACTTTTAAAATTGTTGTTGATTGTGGATCCTAGGGTAAATCAGGGAGGAAAAAAGGATTAGGTGGTATTCCAGTATTAGCTCAAATTTGTTACTCAGTTTATGTCACCAAAGTAGGAGAAGCAAAGCCACTGCTTTTAGTCCATATGCCTGGCTTTAATCTACTGTCACAGTATTGTGATGCTGTGGTCTATCACACCTGGCATTTGGCTTGCAGTATCGCCTAGCACTCACTTCGTAGAAATAGTGTCATCTCAATGTGGGATGGGGAACTACAGTTCATGTTGGACAGAGGAACCAAATGTGCACACAAAATATCCTAAATTCTCAAGGAATGAGAAGAAAAACCAACTGTCATGACTGAAACACACACACACACACACACACACACAAATATAGGGAAAGCTGTTTCAGGGATCAAGAAACAAGTTATAACTTGCTTAGTACACTCAGGAATTCATAAATACTTCATCAGGAACTGAATTATTTGATTTCTTCTTTAACTCTTATTCTGTAAAATAAGAAATATTTTCATTCCTATTAGAAATCTGTGACTCAGAGGCATTATGTGAATTTCCCTGGCATCATGCAGATACTAGTAAGCTGGGTCTGAAACCCAGGTCTTCTATCTGTAGGGTGCTCCTCTTCCCACTCAATCACACAACCACCCTGTTAAATGTGATGTAAATTTTACTTCAGTTTCTTTCGTAGAACATATAGTAATAAGTTATCAAATAATTTATTAACCTAAAGTATAAAACTTGTAGAGATATAGATTTGGTAATAGCCTTAAACTTAAGATCAAAGATAGCATTTAGAAAATAAATCGCTAGTATCCAAAATACGTCTTCATTGGTACTTAAAGAAAGAAAGCCTAAATGGGCTGAGGTGGTGTGGGGCTTATATGCTAGAAACAAAATTCTTTTGGAAGACATGTTTTTGAAAGGGTGACTTTGTTATAATAATTTCTCTCTCATCACCCACAGCCAGCTCTACTACTCAGTATGGAGGCAGAGGAGTCCCCCCTCTACAAAAAAAAAAGGCAAACAAAATGGAACAGGGAGAAAAGTGATACAATTTAGAAGGAAGAAAAGTAAATAGCAGTTGGGTATTTAAAGAAGTTTGTTTTGTAATTACCCTCTGAATAAGTTCAATCACAATTGATTCCTGGCCATTTGTAACTTGTTGGTGAAGGCATTGGATTAAGTTTTTGACTCTGGATAACATCATCAATCTGGCAAGGTGCCTGCTATGAATATCTAAACCAAGCATCAATTTTATCTTTGAATGGTTAGGTTGTCTGGGAAGATAGGAGCTGAAAAAATAACATAAGAAGAATCTAGGCAGAAGAAAGTTTGGTGATCACAATAATAAAAAGGATTCTTCTTTATAAAATTCTAGGACCCTCTCTCTAGAAAAGTCTCATTTACTAGATCTGAGGAGGGCTTGGAATCTTTAGGTGATACAGGTAGTCTGAGGACAACGCTTTGAGAAATGGGGTAGAGGGACTGGTAAAAAGAATTCTTATAAAATGAATTTACAACAGGAGGAAAATCAGAAAAAACATGAACATAAGTTTTATTGTTGAATGGAGCTTATGTATAAACTAGCTTTCTAAAGACCTGGAAATTGTTTCCATGGCAGATGATGGCTTTCATTATTAGAAGCATTCTTTCTGCCAACGTTCTGGCATTCCAAGTTCCCAGAAGTTTCAGAGAAACTTATACATTTAAAGCTGTGTGCCAGCTTGTTATAAATCTATATCTATGCAACCTAATAGCATTAGCAGTTTGTAAATCTATCCTACCTCCTTCTTTAGGGCATTTCTAGAATTTTGTACTTGGAGTTTGTCTCCTAGCATTGAACAGAAGACCCTGTTTCAGGGTAGTATCTCTTTCTGCTTGATGATTTTGACATGCTAGAAATTACACTGAGATTAAGTTCCAAGAGGGCAATTGAAGATTAGTTGGGTGTTTAATGAAAGAGTGAGGGAGAGGCTGTCAACTCAAACAAACAGACTCGCCCAGCCATTCAGCTCTCATTCCTGAATTAACTCTGTTTATACATGTTGCCTGCTTTTCTCTGCAGATGCTTCCTGGCTGGCTCCCCTTACAATAGTCTATGTATTCACTTAGGGAGTGTTTTGTGGCTAACACTGCAAACCGCAGGTACATATGTCACCAAAGACTGGCATATGGAATGTAAATGAAATATAAAAGCTGTTTTTTCCAACATAACACCGGGTGAGCTCCTTAGCATTAAAGAAACCAAAACTATGCTGTGAAAAAAACTTTACATCCTATTGCTTTCTCCTAATTATAACATGAGTAACATGCAAAGGCTATTATGTAAGAGGGCTTTTAAAAAACACTTTTCGCCTTAAATAAAGCTTCACTGAAGTTTCATTGCCACAAGGATTGAATTCAAGGTAGTAACAGAGAATTTGAGCTTTGGAGCCTCTGTTCACAATGTCAGACATTCAAGGTCCTCTCCCTCTGTGACAAACCTGCCTGGCCCCATCTTCAACACCACCAGTTCTTTCAGGCGTGGCCCTCATTTTCCTGCATACTCGCCCCTCTCAGGCTGTTCCTTTGGTCTGTAGCAACCTTCTCATTCTGCAAGTTCTATGTTCCTGAATCACAACTATCCTTCAAGGTGAATCTCAGATAATACCTTCTTTGGAGATATTCATTAATCTCAAACTAATCTGTCTTCCTTCTGTCTCAATTTTTCTAATTCCTCTTACACCTTCTATTCTTTAATGTAGACATTCATTATATATTTATGCAATATATTCACTATATATTTATTCAAATATATAGTCTCTTTTGTTAAATGGCAAACCCTTTATGCATAAATTTATCTTTTCATACTCTAGAAAATAGCATAGTGATTTGCATGTGTTGGTTTGAAGTATATTTTTGTTGAATAAACAAATGAATAAAAAGATGAGAATTTATTTATCAGAAACTTTTACATTTACCAGGAAAATTTTACAAGACTTTTTAAAGTGTTTGCTTTACGTCAGGTTGAGATCAATGCTCCTAGAAAAAAAAGAAAATTGCACATGAATTATTGGAAGGGATTTTTTTCCCTGTTTGTGGACATTTTCAGGTAATTGATTATTTGTGGAAGGCTCCTCCTTGGTAAGACTGTAATAATTATAATAGTAGGAATCACTGTTGTCTGCCATATATGCACCAAGCACAGACATCATTGTGTTTGAACTCATTTGCTTTCAAATCAACCCTCTAAGGTGAGTACTATGATTATCCACATTTCATAGAAGAGGAAGTGACTTGCCCAAGTTGACACAGCAGTGAGCCACAGAGCTCACTGAAACAAGGGCCATGTAGCTTCAGAGCCTGTTAATGCCTTCATAGTGCCTACCTCAAGATGAGCATGCAGGTAGGTTCTCACTAAGACCTCCTACCCACTGATGGACAGCAAGCAGTTTGTAAGTGGATCAGAAACTGTTGCACCCCTCTCCAAAGGCAGTCTATTTTCTTTACTCCCCCAAAATAAGAACCATAACCTTGGTAGTTTTTACTGCAATCCTTTAAAGTTTGTGTCATATCCATATAAAACTCCAGGTTTTTTTTGATCCAAGAAGTCAGCTATGAACCATTCTCTCAGGCCTGGATAGAGGTTAGTCAACCAGAGCACTGAGTGATGTTCACAGAATTTTGAGGCTTATTAGCCTTCTTGGGGTCAGGTCTAACTGACCAGTGTCATACATGCTGTGTGGGTGTGGAGGATGCCATGAAACTGTGACTTTCAGATCACCCTAAACAAAGAGGTAATCAGATCATCAAATGGGATGTGATACTTTGTGATGCCATCAGTCATTTCTTTGATTGCACTGGTCCTCCTTCAGTGTTTCTTTGTGGAATGTCAGAAGGAAATGGACAGACATCTGTGACTAATCACATGTAACAAGTAGCAATATATGAGATATCCATATCCCAAATTGGTTTACATTTCTGAAATT